GATGCAGGTTGATCCTGCACACAGTGCTGCCCGGGACAGGAGGGAGCAGGGAGCAGAGCTCCTTGCTGTACCATGGGGTGTTGGCACAGCACACCCTTCCCCAGCAAGGGGTCCGCGAGCCGTGGGGAGCCCCCTCCAGCCCCAGACAGGTGCTCAGCACCTTGCGTTGTGGTGCCGGCACGGGCACAGCTTCTGGTTTGGGTGATTGATGGGGAAGGGAAGGAAGGCACACGCCACACCACACTGCGTCCTGGTCTGTGGGCAAAGATCACGCTGCAAAGACAGAAAACCAGGGATGGCAGGAAGAACCGTAACAGGGGAAGGAGGAGGCGGCCTTGTGACTGGTAAATGGTAAAAAGAAAACTACCGAGAGCGTACAACTATGTAAAACCCCACCATGCTCTGCTATGGGCTGGGGCTGGGGTGGGCACCGGAAAGGAGCTGCCATGGGGCACGACTGCCTGCCTTGCAGGGCAGGGGCTGGGAGGTGCCAGGCACCCTCTGCGCCTCTGGCCTGGGGCTGAGGAGCCCTGGCCCCTGCTCCGGCAGAGTGGACCGCTGCCTGGGTCCCTGCGAGCTAAAAACTGCTGCTGCCGTCTTGTCTGGCCAAGGCCTGCCACAGCTGGGCTCCCAGCGACTCCAGTGTGCTGCATCCACTTCCCCTGGGGAAAGGAGACATGTAGCTCATGGCAGGCAAATGCCAGGAAAATGAGGAGAGGATATTTGACTCTTGGAGATAAAAGCCTCATGCTGAAAGGTGTGCCAAAACCCCTGCTTTGCCTACGCCACGGAGCAGAGCGAGTCCTGTGTATTGGCAATGGCAAACCTGCTCATGTCCGTTTGCAGGCAAGCTGTGAGTGTCTCAAAAACTCGGCGCATTGTACACTCAGCATTGTAGGATAAGCAAAAATGTTTTGGAGTACAACATTTTGCGAGTAAAGGCACATATCGGTGAAAGTTTCAGAATGGAAATGAGCCACTGGGGGGAGACAGTGACGGCACTGGGTATGTCAAATGGGAGAAGAGGTGCAAAAGATGGTCCTTCAACCCTACCCACGCAGGTAGCTATGTTGGTAGCTGATGCCACTTTCCTCCTAGAGAGTGGAGGGAAAAAAAAGGAGCCCGGAGAGGTGAGGTGCAAGTGCACTGTGTGTGTGTGGATGCAGTCTGATGGTACAACGAAGCTGATGTTAAGAGCAAGCACCCAGGGAAAGAGCTGGTCCCGTCCCCTCCCACCCTCCTACCCCCTTCCTGGTGATGGCCTGCCTGCACCCAGGCAAGGTTGGGTGCTGGGGCACCGGGCTGGCAGCGCTCCCATTTCCCAGTGTGGGATGAGGTGGCTTCTGCTCCTTTTGCTCCCCAAGACGGCTCCCTTTGGTGGCAGGCAAGGAGCAGCCCTGGCACGGGGCAGCAGGCGAGCTCACCGGGCAGTGCCGGCAAACACCCCATTGGCCAGGCTGCACCATCGCCCTGCGCCGCTGCCACCCTGCTGTGGCGCCCGCACTGATTTCAAGGGGGGTTGAGTGTATTGAGTGTATTAAATGTCTTTGAAGATCTGAGCCTGCGAGTGCTGATTCACCCACGCTGCTGACTCAGGCTGCGCCTATTTAAAAGCTGCTGTCCCTCGGCTCCAGGTCCAGCGGCGGGGCAGCAGCATGGGCAGGGTATTTGCTCCGGTCCCTGCAGCTCACAGCAAGATACCACCATCGGTTTCAGAGTACATTAATATTTGGGGCAATGAACGGCGGCAGACAAGGGCTCTTAGCTTGTCCGAGCTTGTGGTATCACCAAAGGGCAACCTTTGGTTCCTTTGGCAAAGGAACCAAAGTTCCTCTGTCCCTCTCCACCCCCCACCTTCCTGCATGTTTCCTACAGCTCACGTGTTACCCCCACAAGAAAAAACTACTCTGTTTTCAGCCAGACAGGGTGCTAGGTGGCTGCACGGGCCCTGCCACGAGCCTGGGGAGGGCAGTGAGGGTGGCGGTGCAGGAGATGGAGAGGGGAGGCCCACCCTTCCAAAGGGCAGTGCAGATTTGGGCAGCTATCTGGCATTATTTCCCCTCAGCCCTGTTTTCATGGCTGCCCAGCTATGATAGCCAGTGTTTTCTCACACAGCCTCGGCCCTGCTCTCCTCTCCCATCATAAGCCGCACTGACTGGGCACCTCTCCATCTCCAGTCTCACAGCGCCAGCCAGACGATAAGCCTGATCAAATTGTGTATCTGCAGGGAAACAGGTTATCAGGCAGCTTCTTGGCTAGTACAAAACCAAAAACAGCAGAGCCACAGCCACTCACACCACGCCGAAGCCAGCCTTCGCCTCCGAACAGAGGGACCGTGAGCTTTTCGGCAAAGCACAGCTGCAGTTTTCTCTTTCCTCTTACTGGCTGCCCGGGTTGTGCTGAAACTACAGACCCCTTTAGACTCATGAAAATTAAAATGCTAAGGAAATGGGGACAGGTACTGGGCCATCCTGCCTAAGGGTGTTGTACCGGCCACCGGCAGGTAGCCCTGAGCTGGTCCCGGCCTCGGGGCTGAGCTCCCACCTCCCCACAGCTGCGTGGGTGCCAGCTAGGCAGGGTGTCCCCAGCTGCTCTCCCGTCCCGTCCCGTCCCGTCCCCTCCCTCCTCAGCTTGCTCATATGCAGGTGATTTCCATCCAATTTCCATCAGAAGGAGCCAGGTGTATTTAAGCTGCAGGGCTGGCAGCATTGGGGAAGGAGTGAGAAGTGGTCTTGTAGTCTTGGGGGAGAGCTGATAGCTCCTTTCCCTCTCTGTCTCAGCAGCCTGCTTCTCTGGGAGGCAAAGGAGCAGGTCTTGTTTGGCTTATACCTCCTGAAGCATTTCTCTTTTGTTGTTTAGGGGTGAGAGTGTGTTAGGGGATGTGGCCTTTCTGCCCTGATGTGTTTGTGGGGTGTGCATTAAGCCTGTGTGGCACTTGGATTGCCGGTGGCAGAGGCGTGGACTCTTTCTGGGACTATACATGTGAGATACCTGCTGGGCTGTATTCCACTGCTGAAGCTTGCTAGTCAGGAAAGTGTTTTCTCCATTAAACATTTTTCCTTTGTTTCTATTTCCTTTGAGGGGGTGTGTGTTCTTTTTTTTTTTTTCCTCCTGGCTCCCACAAAATTAGACTTGTCTGAGATATCTCAGTAATCTGTTGTTTCTAGCTACTTTCAACAGAGACCAAATCACTTTCAAACCTCAACAGGTCATGAGGGCAAGACTTAATTTTCTTTGTGCAATACACTTAGCACCTCACCTCTGCTTCCTGTTTATTCCTGATGTGAGCCCCCCCCTCCTTGAAAACCCCTCGTTTACACAGGCTGGTATGTGCTTGTTCAGCCTTGCAAGAGCTGCCTCATGATACTTCATTCTCTGGTCCCTGTATATTGTTTTCGAAGAATCTTTTGCTTTCAAAATAGGTTAAGGTACTGCCAGGCTGAACAGACTTACTTCTAGATAAACTTTTGGATGAATATTGACAGACTGTGCAAAGCTTGCTACACTGCAAGGAAGTCTCTTTTGAGTAGGAAAAAAAAAGCTTTTTCTTGACAAACGATTGTTGCTATTTTTTGTTGATCGTGTTAACTATCACCATGCCCACGGGAGCTCAGTGTCAGCGAAATCTGTAGTGCCTGTATTGATCCTAAACTGTGCCAGTAAGGACTCTTCCATCTTAGTGAAAACATCCTGAACTCAGTTATTTTGCCTTAAGGCTGGATGGTTGGCTGTCTTTAAACTGACAGACAGATCCACTCTTTGCAAAATGAGCATGATTTTTAACTCGAACGCAAGCTATCACCTAGGTTTACATCATTGTGACAAGTCATTTTGCAAAGAGCACTTGAATAAGATTCAGGTAGGGAGGTTGTGGTTGTTGTTCAGATGTTTCTTTAATGAGCTTTTAACTCTTATGAAGGCAATTAAAACAGCCGGTGGGTGTATAGCTATTGGAGGTACCTGGGCAGCGCGTGAGCCCCTGTACCCTTCTCTAGCTGCCATCAGAGCTGGGGCAGCTGCAGCCTTAGCTTCAGCTGCTCCCTGGTAGCCGCCCGGGCCTCGCTGGTTTGGGCATGGCTTTATCCAACACAGTTTTTAAGGAGTTTGGTAAGGGGGAAGCTTCTAATGTCTTATTTCAGCTTTTCTCCGTGGAACAGAGCTTCAGGGTGGATTTCTTCTGGCCCTCAAAGTAAGTGTGTTGGTGACAGCTGTAGTCAACATGGAGGCGCTTATACTATTGATGAACAAAAACAGCTGCTGGAAAAAAGGGAAAAGATGTTATTTTGTTCCTAGAAACTTGCATATAGCTTTATAAAGTGATGCTGCATCTCAGTCCTGCCAGGACTTCATTTAAGCCTGTATGGGACACGTACCTTCAGTCACAAGGGTCTAAAAGACACTAGTGCTTATCAGTTTGGGTTGATGGTCACTTGAAGCAGTGTCTGTGTGAATAGATGTCCTTCTGTAAGTTTTGGGAGTTTCCTGTTTAACTTTTTAGCACTAAAACTCCCTTAAGGTTTGCTCTGGACTTTCAGAAGTAACTGGCAGCTCATTAACAGCTTTTTATTAGCACTGAAAACCATGGGAGGGAAGCTGCACTGGTCATCTGGAGGCCTTGTCTTTGCTAGGCAAAAGGTGCTTGTTGCCAGGTATTAGCTCATGTACTGCAACGCAGGGTGCAGTCCTAGGCGTCTTCATTTCACAAAGAAAAATGTGTTAGAACCTCTTCTATAGATGAGATGGTGAAGTATGAGATCATTTCGATTACACCATGCTGGCAGGCTGAGAGTGAGAGGAGGGGAGAAGTCTTGTTCCTCTTGACCTCCAAAGGGACAACCCTTTGCCTTTTTTCCTATCACAAATCCAAGCTGATAGCAAGCACTTCAAATCCAAGTCACGATTTGGCCAGCTTATCAAAACAACTATAAAACCTGAAGGAAAATTTGATTTGATATATTATGTGATTGGCACTAAAAGGGCCCCGTTTGTACCATTTGCAGGCATGGCGGAAGCGCTGGTTCGTGCTGCGCAGAGGCCGCATGAGCGGGAACCCAGATGTGCTGGAGTACTACAGGAACAACCATTCCAAAAAACCCATTCGGATCATCGACCTCAACGAGTGCGAAGTGCTGAAGCACTCGGGGCCCAACTTCATCAGGAAAGAATTTCAGAACAACTTTGTCTTCATTGTGAGAACCACCTACCGCACCTTCTACCTGGTAGCCAAAACTGAGGAGGAGATGCAGATCTGGGTGCACAACATCAGCCAGATCTGTAACTTTGGACATCTAGAAGATGGCACAGGTAGGATCATGCTTGTCTTGGGGGTTGGGAGGATGATCTTTGTCTGGGCTCCTCCACAGCAGCACCCAGGGTGAGAGGAAGCATGGACCTGGCTGGTTGGCGCACCTTCTACCTGGTAGCCAAAACTGAGGAGGAGATGCAGATCTGGGTGCACAACATCAGCCAGATCTGTAACTTTGGACATCTAGAAGATGGCACAGGTAGGATCATGCTTGTCTTGGGGGTTGGGAGGATGATCTTTGTCTGGGCTCCTCCACAGCAGCACCCAGGGTGAGAGGAAGCATGGACCTTGCTGGCTGGTTGAGTTGGGCAGGTGGTGTGGGACTCTGTTTCTTATAGCTCCACACAGCACTGAGATGCTGCTAAACCCTGATTTGCAAGTTATCAGGGATCTTGTTTCTGCTGGGTAGAAATAATAGCTGGCCGCTTGGTCTCACTTTGATGAAGCAATTCCTGCTAGAATAACCAGCAGGTCCTTAATAAGAAAAGGTACTGTTTATGTGAAAAGCTGACTGACTGTTATCTTCTGGGGCCGTTTATTTCATTGCATGTCCCGTATTTATTTAGTTTGGCTTAATGTAAGACACCTGTTCTGGGAGAGTGTCCTGCAAAACTCGCATTTTCTCAGGCTTTGCTGGATGTGGAATGTGCACAGACTTGGGTGGATACGCACATTACATAAATCAATGACAAAAATACTGAGCTGTCTTAGTCTATTAGTGAGAAGAAAAGTAAAGAAAAGGCAGAAGACAGGAGAGCGTTAGAAGTGTGTGTCTAGACTTAAGAGATGGTCCTGCCAGTGAAGCATAAAGTCAGCCTGTTTTGCCAGGACCTACACCTGTATATACTCAGCAGGGTGAATGTCTTGGAAAGCTTCCAAGAATTAACCACTCCAAGATGGATGTAGCCAGTAATTGAAGTCGGGACCTGTATCATCATTAACTTACCTTTCAAATGAGACAATCGGGCTCAGAAAACAGCAATCTGTCTTTCCCTTGACATTTCCAAGGGGCAGATACAGCAGCAATTTGAGAGCTTCATAGGAAGTGAGTCAGAACGAAGTCCTTCACCATGGTAAAAGGTAGTGCAAAAGCAGAAGAGGGTGGTGATGGAGGGACTCGATCCCAAGGGCAGTAATATGTTTGGGGGTATCATAGTGTGGCTGGGCAGATTATCCTGCCGTGGTCCCTGTGCTGCTGCGCTCAGGCTGCTACTGGTGTCTGCAACTGCCGCATAGCCATACCATTACCTTGTAACTTGAAAGGAAACAAAAGGCCATGGTGAAATGTTTTACTTTAATCTGTCGTGGTTCCTGGCCTTCTTTAATCTTCTCTTCAGTAGTTCATTCTGAGGGGATATGGGAGTGGAAAGAGCACTGCAGTGGTCCTGTTATAAATGTGATGTCTGCTCTCTTCCCATTCACTTTAGAGACCACCAGGAAAATGTGCTGACATATTTTTATGTGCCAGTACAAGCTGCCCATGAATGCAACTTGCAAACTAGAGCTGGTAGCTTTGAGGGATTGGAGTCAATAGCCCTTTGGAACTTGGACATAGTTAGGGATATTCAGTAACCCCCTTCCTGCTGATCTGCCCTTGTTGACACTGAGATGTTGGTCTTGCATTGCTACTTCTGGTGCAGTATTATTTCAGATATAATTTTACCAATTACTCTGAAATGTAGGTAAGTCTTTCCATGCAAAACAGAAAAGAGAAAAATAATTTGTCTCTCAAATCTGTATGCAGACTTCTGCTGGCACTGTGATGAGGATGTGCATAGGGAGATGTGATCTGTGGCCGAGGAGCTAAGGCAGTGGCTGTCCCCAGGATAGATGCATTTATACTGGGAAATGTCTGTTCTGTTACGCTGGTACAGTGCAGCGTTGCTTGTAAGACTTACACATGGGCAATACTCAGAGTATTACACAGTGGTATTTCTCTCCCAGCGAATACTGCTAGTGTAGAAACTGACGGATGAGAAGTGACAACTCTTGGTGTGGCAGTTGGGAAAGCTGACATCCCAGCTTTCCGCTCTGTTCAAGGCAGGTATTAACCCCCAAGAAGTTCAACAGTGCAGAGCATTTGCCTTGGTTCAGTATAAAGTCTGGCACCTGAACGTACAGCCCTTGTCACAACTGTGTAAGCTAAGCTTCCAGACATGCACTTATCGTATCTCTAATGGTGAATAGCTCATAAGATCTCCTGTTTACCGTGCAGTTCATGCTGGTGAGGTCAGGTCTGGGGTGTATTCAGGTCAGGCTGCAGGGCACATCCAGATCCTCTGATTTAAATCTGCACAGTTCCACAGGTTGCACATAACATTTCAAACAGTTGCTAATTGCTTCAGCTTTTTGGAAGCACATAAATCCCCCAAGAGCCTGTAGGTTTAAACAAATTACCCTTAAAAATTAACATAAGAAGAGAAAAGCTCTATTAAATGCCATATGCTTTTTTAACTTGAATGCTACTGTGTTAAAAAAATAATAGTCCCTGAAATGAATCATCAAAAGAAAGACACATCAATTGCAGGAAATTTTAATAAGCTGTTCTGTGTATTAAAATGAATCTCAAAGCCAATATTATATTGTGAAATCAATCACTGTTAATCCTTGCATCTCTGAATATTTGCTGCGACTTTGAGGCCAAAACCAAATCTGCTGCTTTCTCTGCTTAATGCACAGAAAGTGCAGCCACGAGTTTACGCAGTGACTCAGCTGTAAACACCGTCCCATTGTTCCCAGTTAGTCCCCTCCAGTAGCAAAGAAGCTGGACGAACAGCCAGGTCCTAGTCATCAGAGGCCTCCGGTCTGACATGTAAGCAGCCAGATGCAGACCAAAGTTAGCAAAACCACGGCTGGCCCTGTGAGGACAGCTTTTTAGTCAACAAGAGAGGGGACGGCTGAGAGACTAAGGCGAAATGCAAGCTCCAGGCAGATGTCAGGAAGCACCTGGGAGGGCGGCTGTTGGGAAGGACTTGCCAGCAGCAATCATCACGCTGCAGCACTCGGCTGCCACAAGAAACTGTGCCACTGGCTGTGCTGAAAATGACGGGTGAGCTGGCACCTTCAGGGGAGTCAGCTGGAGGAGAGAGGAAGAGGCCTCCCTCCATATTTTCTTACCATTTCTATGTAAAATCTTTCTTCTACCTCTGGTGAAGGCTCCCAGTGGGGACCTTTCATCTTGGGTTCCCTCTTCACTTCTTCCACAGGCTCCAGGTATTGTTACACATCCCATGTAAACGCCTTGCTCCTTCCAGATGCAGCCCTTACCTGAAGGTCCCTGCTGATCTCCATCTCTCCCCTGTTGCTCTACTCTCTCCAACAGCACCCAGGGCCACAGTGCAGCCTGATGTCCCCGGGGAGGCCCCCTCACTGGTGCCTTCCCTGCACAGTGCATGGACCAGGACGTTGGCAGGGTCATCCTAAGTGACAGGTTACCCTTGGGTCCCTCTTGGCTGCTGGCAGTTGGATTAGAGCATTTCTGCTCCTCCACCTCTCCCTTACCTCTAGTTGCTCTGTTGTTCACACCCATCCTTGCCCATTGCTGGGACCTTCTCCCTTTTTGCCTGCTCCTCTGATGGTTTCTTTGCCTCCTTAAATGTCTCTCCCTTTTTTTTTTCCTCTTGCCAATGTGCGCAGACCCTGCCCCCCATGGCATGGGGATGGTTTGATTTCCCCAGGAGCTTGCTGCAGCCACACTGGGAAGCATCTCCCCCAGCCAGGGCAGCATGCTGGGAGCAAGGGGAGCCAGGACCACTGTACTGAGGGACTACCTGGAGGGACTGCGCTCTCCTTGCAAAGACACTTTCTCCTGAGCGTCTTCACTTCATTTCCCCCCTCTGTTCCCGTACAAAGTGGGGCAGGCAGTGTCCTGGCAGGCTTGCTCACGGCAGCACCTGGCCCTTGCACAGGAGTTCAGGGGAGGTGTGACAGCTCCTCCCAGCCCATGCTGGAGGACAGGCACTGGGGCTACTCCCTCCACACTCCCCTCTCAGTGGGAGGAAATCCCTTCTCAGCTGCATGGACTCAAGGCTGCCCTTTAATGTCAGGCTCTGGCCCCTGGCCAGGAGGGGTGGGTGGCATTTCTACCTCCTTGGTATGGCCATGCAGCCTGGTGGGGGTTTGCTGTGAGCAGGACCCCCCTATTTCACTGTGTCCCTGCACTGCTGTTGCACCATAACGATTTTTGGGGAGTGGGCTGGGGTCTGTAGCAGGAGGGAGAAGCCCTCTGTTTCTTCAAGCAATGGCCCTGCAATGACAGGGAAAGTCACGAGATTTTTTTGGGTTAGTACCCACCGAAGCAGTTATTTTGGCAGCTAAAGCCTCCTGCTGTCTCTCTGGCAAAGGGGAGGGCAGGCACCAAACCTATTCTCTGCCTTCTCACTGTTGAAAGTGGCCATGCATAATTTATTCTACCCAGCTGCTGTCGTGGTACAACTTTAATGCACACTGATTCGGTTACCAGCAGGGCTGGCAGGGACAGGGACGGTCTGTTAGGAGCTGGCTGCAGGTCCCTGAGCCCCTGAAGGTTAGAAAAGGGCAGGTCTGCGCTGTCCCCATCCCTCCCTCCTGTTCACAACGGTTGCCATGTGGTCTGTAGCTCACAGCCTTTCCTGATGGGATAATCCGTGGCTAAACCCTGTGAGTACCAGATGGAGTTCAGGCCTGTTTGTTCTCTGTGTTAATAATCCAGAATGTCATTAATTTTTCTTACGCATTGTGGCAGGTTTTAGTTGTTGTGTGTTTTTTTTTTTTAAAAAATGTGGTCAGATGGTGATGTGAACATGCTTTTCTGAGATCCCTATGGAGTTAGCCTGGTGCATATTTGATCATCCTCAGCTTGCAAGACAGCTCTCCGAGTCCAAGATTTGAAAGCAGAGTTACTGTCTGAGCCAGCACAATGAACAAGAGAAAAGTTATTTTTTCAGATGGGAAGGCTGCAGCCCTCAGCTCTGCTTTGCAAATGTGAAACCCTGTAAAAGCCATTCCTTCCAGATGCTCACTGCTGAAATCCTGCTGCTATAAGCACCTGCTCAAAATTAAGCAAATGCTTTGTGTAAGCTCGAATTTAAGTATGTGCTTTGCTGATCTGGGGTCCACTGCATCAGACCTCCAAAGCTAACAGGAGGAAGCAGCAGTGAGTCAATACTGGTAGATGGGAAGGGAAGAGGCAGCTCCCTCCCCAATTCAAAGGGATGAGGTGTGGGGTAACGCAGGGAGAGAAGATCAGCTGTTTCACTCTTCTGACTGACATCAGAAAGGTGACAGGGTGAAGCCCGCTGTGGCTGGTGTGGAAGTCTGGGTCACTAGAGGGTTTTGTTTGTTCAGTGATGTTGCTGTCTAACCACCCATGTCTTGGCAGCCCTTTCGGTCCCTCCTGACCTGCTTGCGCATACACCTAGCACCTCCCAGGGTTGAGAAGAGACTATAACAACCCAGTAAAGTGCCAAAGCTTGTTGCTGTGTTGAGCTGAGGACTAGGTAGAACCTGCTGGAGGATCTCAGGACCTCACCACACAGTGCAGGATCTGGCCCGCCGCATGTATGCAGATGGTCAGGGGCTGGTTCTCAGCATTTCCAGTAAATTCTGGATTTCAGTGTTAGAGAAATCTGCCTTCTTGCTATGCTTTGAAGGAATGTTTATGCTTGGTTTGGTTTTATCAGCAGTCGCTGGTTTCTTGTATTTGTTTTTGCTGCGGAGTTTTTCATTTTGAAGAAAGGTTTTGCAGCTTTGACTCAGGCGGTGTCTGTGCTTCAGCCAGAGAGATGGGTGCCCACTGCCGAGCCCCGCAGGTGTCGGGGACAGCTGGGGCACCCAGTGAGCACTGCCTGGTCCCCGCACAGCCCTGGTGAGGGAACCACCACGCAGCAACCTGAAACGTCATTAGAAAAATCATATTCTCTAATTGAGGGCTCGTGCTCCTGGTGCCACTGGCTGAGCTTGCTGCTAGGAGCAGATGCCTTTGGAGAGCAGGCCCTTCCCTGTCCACAGCTGCCCACGGTGGGAGGTCCGACTTGCACTGAGGTCTCGATTTTTTGAGTCAAAATGCTCCAAGAGCTGGGCCAGAGGCTGTGCTTAGCCTTAACTCTGTATGGTTCACCCATCACTCCTTCATCCCTCCTGCCCAGCGTCCCTGGCTCTCTAGCGGGGATGGAGGCTGGGAGAGCAACAGGACTAGACTTGTCTCTGCTGCCCAGTAATGCTCGGGCCAGATGGGTATGAGTGCCTCGGCCGTATGCTGCCAGTGAAGGGTGGCCTCGGTGGTCGGAGGTCAACCCGGAGCTGAGCAGGTGGCCAGCTCTGTGCAGCCTGGGCCAGCCCTGCTGCCTGCAGCCCAAACCTGCTCCTCTCCCCACCTCCATCCCTTTCTGTGCTGCAGCAGGACTGGAGTGTTATGCCCGGGGAAGGAGGGAGCAAGGAAGGTGTCGCTGAGCAGGGAAGGTGTCACTGAGCACAGGCTCCCCTGTGTCTTGTGGCCTCCAGAAAAGTAGTGTCCCTTTTCTCAGCAGAGCCAACAAGCCTCTAGCTGGGCAATAACAGCTACACCACAGCTCTCGTGGCTTTGATGTCCAGCCTAGAGAGGCGTAAGGAGTTTGCAGACAAGTTCAGAGGTGCAACAAATCCAGCTACTCCATAAGCCGCAAAGCTCAGTTTTGTCCACTGAGATCTAGAAAGTGGGAAGAAATCATTCCCTTTCCTTGTTGCCGTTAATTTGAAGTGTCGGAGATTAATACTTAATTATTTGTGTTAGGTCCTAAAAAATACTTGATAAAACAGACTGCTCTGCCTCAGCACTTTCCTCAGCAGAGGCTATCTTCATTGCTGTCTGCAGGAGGGATGCTACAGCCCTGCAGGAGGGGGGATGCCAGACCAAGCCTGGGCAGGGGGACAGCTGCAAAATCAGGCTCCCCTCTCCCCAGAATCAGTTTTTGCCTTGACCCGTTGCTGCTCTGGGGTAAAACATCCCTGGTGCAAAAGCAAGGTGGCAATGGCCAGGAGAGGCAGTGGGCCAGGGTGAGTCAGAGCCATTCCTCAGCTGGGGCCGTCCGTTCCCATTGCAGGTTCAGTGGAGAGCCTGTCTCACACGACCTCGTCCCCGCAGCCATCGCCGGCCGCCTCCACCCACGCCTCCCGCATCGCAGATCCCTCCTTCTCGGTCGATCACGCTGCTGCTGACGCATCTGCCGCAGAGGAGACCCCCAGCGAGTCGGAGTCGGTCTTCCTCCCTGACTACCTCTTCCTCTCCAACTGCGAGTCGGGCAAGCTCAGCCACAACAGGTAGGTGTGGGGTCTGCCAGATGCATCGGGCTGGAGCCACCCTCTGCCTGCCCAGTGATGCCCTGGGAAACTGGGGCAAACTTGTCCTTGAGCCCTACTGCTCAGGGTAGGCTCCCAAGCACAACAGGGGACCATCAGCTTAATCTAATTTGCAGGAGGCTTTTCATAGCGCAGATTAGCGGTCGAGTGTTGTATGTTGGTCCTGTCCCTTTCCACAGTGAGTGGCTGGGGACCTCACATACGGCCTTCCTCCAGACGCCCTTTCTACCTGCTGCTGCCCAGGGTGCTCCACAAAGTGCCCAATCCCCCAGCCCAGCTCAGGGGGCACCTACAGCCATAGGGAAGGGACAGATTTTGTCCCAAACTGTGGGGTTGGGGTTTTTTGCTGTGCGCTTGCTCAGTTGCAACCAGCAGAAAAGGAAAGCGCAGGTCCTGACCTCTGTCTCTGTGCAGGTGTGACAGCTGGTCGAATTCGGACAGATCTCTGGAGCAAACCTCATCAGACGATGTTTTTGTCGACTCCTTGCAGTCCCAGCCCTCCTTGTACCTTGTACAGCCGTCCAGCGCTGGTACTGTGCACCAGGATGGGGCCCCGTTGGCAAACCCCAGCACTGTGTCCAGGACCATAGACATTAACGGGCCACCCAGTGACTTTTCCTCCTCTTCTCCACTGCTGGGGACACCGCTGACACCAACCTTTCAGATCGACAAGAGCCAAAACGTGCTGCCCTACGGTGTAACCCAGCTGGACATCCTGTCCAACACACCCCCACCGCGGCCGCCCAAGCCAACCCACTTCTCAGACAGGAGAGGGGATGAGGTGGGCGGTGGGGCCCTCCAGAACGGGCACGCAGGGCTCTGCCGGGCTCAGGTCGCTCTGGTGCCCAGGAGGATCTCCTTGTCCAGCTTAGACAACGTGAGGAACTGGAAAGGTGAGTGCATTTCCAAGAGCCAGCAAAGCAGGGCAGGTGTGAGGGATGGAGCTGCACACCAGTGCAGAGCGGGTGCCCACCTCCAGTTGTGCCTCCCTGTCCTCCCCCCTGCGAAATCATACACCCCCCAAAGCAGCCTGAAATGTTTGTTTCAAATTAGTTAGCGAGCAGGATTCAGACCTGTCCCTCACATTCATCTCCTGCTCTGTAAAAGCCCCTCAGTGTGTACACATGGGCAGCGATTTGGCTGTGATCTCTTCAGGGTGCCTCATGAATTGCTAGTTTTCCATGCCCGCTCCCTCTCCAAAAAAGAAAGCAGTAGAAAAACAAAAATGAAAAGCCAGCCGCTGAATCAGGCAATGCCAAACTCTTTAGTTATGCAGGTCAAAATGTGGGCTTGCACATGGGAAATGCCTTTGTAGCTGTGCTGCTTTGCTACATCCAGTCCTTTCCATAACAGCAGCATGTCTTTTCGCAGCTTAGAGTAAAGAACGGGAAGCCAGGGAGACGCTGGGGATGGGATGTAATCCTAGTTGAACCAGGGACTCCGTCCTTGAGCAAATCCCACTCTGACCTTGCACTTCAGTCAGGGTAGCCTGAAAACCTGCTGCAGAGCAAGGCTCTGCTGCAAAGCAAGCTCTGCTCTGAGCTGAGGTGACTTTTCCACTTGTTCTTGAAACACCATCGTCACAAAAATAACAGTCAAAACCCCAGAACATTAAGGTGTCAAAAACCAGCATACGCAGTATGAGAAAATCTTATTTTGTGGAGCCACAGAACAGAGGGATGCAGCTGAAATACCTGGCTGGAAATCATCAAGTATTTTGCAGTGATGCATCATTTTTTTTGAGGAAGAAAAAGTAGGTTTTTAAGGACGAGCGACCTTTAGACTCCTGCAGTTTGAATGACCAACCAGTGTTTGGGGCCGTTATATCTTGCTCTTAAAGCTCAGAAGCTAAAGCAAGGAGACCTCTGTCCAGCCTGTTTATCAGTGTACAAACAATTCTTGGAAGGTTTCTGAAGAAACACCCATCAGTGGAACTGGTATTCTTAATTATCAGTTACATTCGGTTGCTCCCTGAAAGGTGCTGCTCTTGCTTCTGCACGTGTGCTGCTCTAACGATGCCACCGTGCTTGAGACAGTTAATGTTCCTCCAACTCAATTTATGACAAAATGTTTTTAAGAGGATTAAGTGGCCAAATGTCATGTTCTGCTACTGTGCTGCAAGGTTATCTCTGCCTGACAGGGGGCAGCAATGAATTAATAAGTGCTGCTATTTTTTCCTACCCTAAGTGCAGCTGAAACTGAAAGGTTAAACTCTGAATTAAAACGTGTTTAACAAGAAAGATTGGAAAAAGAAACAGGGAGAAAGCAGCTGTTCCTAACCAGCTCCCAAAGTGAGCCCACTCGAGTTATTTACTTCATTTTTTGCCCTTGGCAACCTGTAAAAGCTGAACAGATGTAGTTAACCCAGTGCAAAGGCAGCGTATGCTGGTTGCAGTGCCACGAAGGGGAACGAGCTGTACGTGTGTAAGGCACCTGTATCCTGGCATCTGCTGGAGTGTTGTGCCTGAATATCTTTTTGCCAAAATAATAAGTAAATGTAGGTGTCCCAGGACAGCGACTGTGTCTATCGGAATATATACACGCGCTAACAGTATTGCTTTGTTCTTGTTTAGCGCTTTTGCCTTTTATGCTGGTACCACCACAGAGACCCCCACTTGCAGTGCAGTATTGACATCTCCGCTGTAAGAGCGGGGACTGGATTAACATGGTTGCAGGGTTTTAAGGCATTCCCACAGAAAAGCCATTTTCTGCACAGAAAATAATTTTCCAGAAAAGAATGGTAGCTGTAAGCATCTCCCGCTGCTAATCTTCTATGCACTGAATGCTGGATTTCAATTTTTTTTTGCCTTTTGCTTCAAAAGTAAAATTGACCTGCACCAAGACAAAGACCATCCTGCACAAGGGGGACACTGTGACTGGTGACTTTTTTTTTTCTGGCTGTTTGTTCCCCATCAGCTTGAGCCACTTGCACCACATCAGCTTTTCTGGGTGACAAAGAAAAGCATTTCTCTCCTACCATTAAGCTCTGCCATGCACCCTCTGTACAATAACATGTGCTTCCCTGGCACCTTACATACGAGGCTCCCAAATAACTTCCCAAACAATAATGGATTAATATTTCCTACAATCCCTTTTCATATAATTTCCCCAGTTTGACAGACGGGGAAAATAGAGCGGGACTAGAGCAGGAGCTGGGTTTAAATTTTTGCTTGGTTGCTTGCTCTCTACACCACCCCAGTCTTTCTCCCCAACTGCTTGTGTTACAGGAAGCACAAGCTACAGCTGGATTATACATGAATGTGTTCCTTGGTTTCATCATACTTAAAATAGATGTAATAGCTCTTGAAATGCTACTGAGTTGGTTCTGGTCTTAAGTGTCGTTGGATTTCCTCATTTAGGATAAATACTAGGAGTTATGGAATCTTTATAAAGCTGTAATTATTTTAGAGCCATATGCTTTACTCCAGAATTATCTCCGTAAGGTTGTACTGCCTTATCACATTTTTAATCACTCTTTTCCCTTGCAGCAGACATGGAAGGCAGTTCCTTAAGAAGTCGGGATAAGAGGCTTAGCTTGAATTTGGTAAGTACTCTGCTTGCATAAATTTAAAACACTGGCACATGACAAACTTCAGAAAGTGAATCATTTCACATCCTGATATTCAATCATTCCTCTCCTGTGTTCAGCAGAAGAATTAAAAAAAAATGGAAGAAGTACTTGGCTTTGGGCATCTTCTATGCTGCTTCTTTGCGGCTGCAGGAAGCCTTTGAGGGAGGGGGAGGCCACCACACTGAGCACTCTGTTTTTAAAGTAGGTGAAGCCAGGTCTGTTGTGAAAAAGGATACCAGTAGCCTCGAGAATTAAACTGTTGACAAAGCACCTGAGAAAACTGCTTATCTCTTGAAAAAAGGATCTAAAGAAGCCTATCACTTCATGATCCTGAGGGATATCCCCTCTTTAGGACATAGAAAAGAGTTTGCTCTCAAAGCGCCTGTGATTCAGGGCTCTGTCAGTCCAAAGCTTCCTGACTCTGCCTTTGACAGACATGGTTGTATCATCACACATCACATAGCCAGTCTTCTGGCTGGCGCTGGACACTGTCTGCTGTGTGGGAGATCCTTTGCTGCTTGTATGTAAGTTCTGGTGGTGGGCGACTTATATTTTTCTCCCCATTGAAAGCTTGCAAGGCTTGTAATCAATCCCTCTCACCACTCAGCCAGCTCTAACCTGCATGAAATGCATTTCTAGTGTTTATTCTCAGCTATCAGAAGTAACTTGTATGTCTGTGTGTCTGCTCTCTCAGCTTCCACATTTGCAAAAACCTAGTTCATCAGATGTTCTCCTTTCAGATGTGGTTTTTGTATGAAGGACCCTCCTTCGTTTTATAGGTCAGAATTACTGCTGGGAGAGTCAAGCACAGCCTCACTGAAGTCGGAGGATTTAACCTACTTAAGTGACCAATAAGTTTGGTCCTCGTTTCCAGCAGTGACTTGCAAAGCTCAGAAGTGGTCCTCTCCAAAGCTGGAGTGTGCTTCTGAACTCATGCGTTTGTCTTGTGTCTTTCCAGCTTGCGCCTCTCAGGTCACGTCAGGACTCTCCTGGCCTGGAGCTCGGCTCAGATCTGTTGCCATCTCACAGCACCTCCTGGCTTGCAGGGGGTTAGCTATTCATTTATGGATCCATTTCTTTCTTTTCCTCCTTTGCTTCTGAAGCCCTGTCGGTTCTCCCCGCTCTACTCGACTGCTTCGGACAGCACGGAGGACAGCTACGTGCCCATGCGCCCCAGCACCTCTCCCTCTGCACCTGGCTCCGACTGTTCACCCGACGGCTACATCCCCATGAGCCCCGGCTCAGCCACGTTTACCTTCCCTGTCGTCAGCACTGAAAAACTCACCAGCCCATTACCTGAGCTTCCCTCAGACCTGGAGCCCCCTCCGGTGAACCGAGACCTCAAGCCTCGTAGGAAATGTAAGCCCAGACCTAAAATGCAATCGGCAGCCAGGGGGTCCTGATAGCGGGGACATGGGTGACCTCTGATAGTGTCCTTGGTACATTTTTAAAGTGCTTCCTGCTCTAGAAGAGGGATTGAATTGCTGTATAAGTGGTTTATAGTACTGTAACGTAGGATGCGTCCACAGGGTGGTTTGTGAGCAGAGGAAGAGCGTCCGTGCCTACTTTTGCAGTCGGAGACCGGGTGGCTGCATTAGCATGGTGCATGGCTTCAGATCCACTCTGACTGCAAATCACCAAATGGACGTAGCCTTGGAGAGACAGCAGACTAAATCCTGCAGCTCTGAAGTACGTGTACTGCTGTCTCACCAGCTCCCTGACCTTCCAGGAACAGGACATCCAAACACTCAAATACTCAAACTTGATGTGTGGGCTGTTGGTTAAACCTCTGTTGGGTAGGCGCAGCTGTCTTGGTTTAATTAGGAATTTCCTGCAGATGCTTTTACTGATGGTAATTTTCCACTCCTGCTTTTCATGGCATCTCCAAAATCTGGGTTGCACTTCCAGAGCTTATACTGGGGACAAAATTCAGCTTTGCAGTGGAGAAATTGCCTAAGCCTAGCCTACGTTAAAGCTCTTTGGGCTGCAGAGCCACAGGGCTACTCAGAAATTGGTTCAGGAAATGCTACTGTGAAGTGCAGACAGAAACTTAGACCATTGCCAGGAAGTGAAGCAAGCTCAGGTCCTTTCTTAGGGGTTTTATGAGAACGGGGTAGAAAATGTACATGGACTGGTGAGAGGAATGATCTTGATCTCCACATGTAGGACCTTTTTGTTTAGAAGAGAGCCCAAAACCTGGTTTGACCTGTAGGCTGAACTGGCCTCTCCTCTTGAAGGCAGCATATGCAGAGCAGATCTGAGACAAGCACGTGGATCTTGTGGGGCATTTGCTCTCCTTATGCCCATTGTATTTATTCTGTTATTTTAGGGTAAATGAGGGACTTTGCTTTCCAGCGCTGACTGAAGTGGTCATTTGTTACCGGTTTCTGCCTTGGTTATATCAGTTATGTTCTGTGAAATACTCTGTTAGTTTCTTGCTGTTAATATAAAGCTTCATTTTTTCTAAACAGTCTGTACTTTTCATTAGCTCTGCTATTGGAAATGTAGTTCCTTTTGTATCTACTTGCAGCACGGCCACCTCCTCTGGACTTGAGGAACCTCTCCACAATCCGGGAGCATGCTGCCGTGACCAGGATGTGGACTGTGCCTTAGTAAGTCAACAAGAAACCTGCCGTTCCAATCTTTTAAGCATTAACATTGTGGAATGGAGTTAAAAATAACTTATCACATCCCACAAGAAACAGTTTCCTGGCAAAGTCCACAAACAAAAATTTCCCAGGGCTCCTTCCAGCATCCCCCAGGCTTTTGCTGTCTCTAAAAAGCAAGGCTCCCTTTCACGATGGGCAGCTCCAGTGTGTTCAGCATCACGCAGTGATGCTCAGTCTATTTTGAAGGCCCTTTTTGAAAAGGCTGGAGCTGGTCTGCACTCTGGTGTGACTGCTGCAATGGCTAAAAGCTGCACATGCCTTAATTATTTTTTTCAAAGTGATAGAGCCATTTTTGTTCCTGAAAATCAATATTGCAAAGGAGAACCAGATAAGATAAAGATCTGCCTGACTTGTAGCGTGGGTGTAGGCTTCCGCACTGCCACGCAGCAATTCAGACTGGATCTGTTGGTGTGACCTTTTGTCACTGGAAATTAGTTGTGGGGTAAAACAAAGGCTTTTGGTCCCAAAGCCCAGGTAGTGTGAACAGGTGATACTGTTGGGCTCCAAGGGCAGTGAAAGACTCATCTTCAGGGAACTCTTGAGCAGGGGAGGACTGCAGCCTGCTGGCTGGGAGGATCTCGGCGCTACGGGGAAAGGCTGACAGGAGAGCCAGCTGTGCTGAAGTGTGCGTGCAAAAGCCAGGAATTCCCACCAACCTCCTCTGCGTACCCCGGGCACTCCGGAAAATGTGTTTTTTTCACTAGTATCATTGCCAGACAGGACACTTCCACTCCCCCGTCTCAGGTAATCATTTGGAGGGCAAAAGGGACACGAGATGGGCAGTTTCTCAGTTGCAGACCCCTCTTTCAGCCGTACAGTCCAAAGCCGGTTAAGCCCTTCAGCGCTGCCTGCCGCGTGCTGCCTGTTAGGGAAACCCCAGTAGCCTGCCTCCCAAGCGTCCCTGCCAGAGCGCTGTGGTTAATTAGTGCTGACACAGTGCAGAGTCCTGAAGGATAACAAGGGAGTTCGCATGTCTTACATTAACAAAACTAAAAAAGAAGTATGCCCGGAACTAATAAAGCAAAAGGAATTATACTGTTCATGCCGCACAAAGCGGCCATCTAATTTCCTAATAACTAGCCCCATTGTGCTGGCCTGCAATAATTTACTCATGATATACCTGACAGTTATGTTAGTGGTAGAGATTTCCTTGTACGAGGGCTGAGTCACAGCCATCTCCATAGCACAGGTAGCATGTGTTTGCACTGTGTTCAAAGCCAGGCAAGTTCCGCTGCATGCACCTCCAGTAGCCGATTAATTCGCATCAATCTCCAAAATGTGGATACCCACACAACTAAGTAACTGCCCTATCAGCACATATTACCCGGATGAATATCTGTCTCTGTGCCCCTTGTTGGAGAATTGCTCCAATGGTTTATGCTTTCTGTCATACCAGAGATGGCAAACTTTCATAAATCCCAGAGAAAGAAAAAACCCAACAAAAACACTCATAGCAATATAGCACGCTTTTTCTAGAACTAAAGAGTGGTTTTGGACATCCTCTCCATAAAAGCTGCAGCGTTACTGTGAGTTTATTCACCATATGGACTGTGTCAGGCTTTGGCTTCATTTCAGAGCATCTGTAAGATGCTTCCTTAACCTCTCCTGTGTTTTTCTTCATAGCAATCGAATGAGCTTTATCTCACCAGAAAGAGACGGTATTAATTCAGCAAGAATATTTGCCAATTCAGTTTCCGGAGAAGAGGAAGAAAGTTACATTCATATGGTAATCTTCATTTTCACACAGCCATCCTTTGCTTTATTCTGCTCTGTCACATTGATGGAGAATGCAGAAGTTTGTTTTCTAAGAAAAAATGTTGAGGAGGTTTGTCCTTTGCCTTCTGTTTTTTAAAAAAAATGATGAAACGGTTTTAAACCAAAGACACTGGGACCAATTTACAGAGAGATAAGGGAAGCCCTTCTTCTGCTCTGCAGAACTCAGCTGTTCGCCCACGAATGTTGCTGAGCAGTTCCAAGAGATCACAGGGATCAGCCATATTTACATGAGAACTCATTAAGGCAAAGGAAAATTAAATCTTTTCACCTTTTAAAAGTGTGCCCTGCAAAATCTCCTAGGAAATGACAGAAAGCCGTTAGTGCACTTCCTAAAGAAACACACCAAATATTGTGCAGAAACAGAACTCCCATTAAAGTCTCTTATTGCTTCTGCTTTGGCTGGTGGCACTAACCCACTTCCCATCCCATGAAAGAAGAACATCTGGCTTTGTGGCTTCCTTTTCTTCATTCACTCTTTAGCCATATCTTGCAAAACACCAGAATCTCAGTTTCCTTTGAATTTTAGGTGGCAATGGATCTCAAATCCCTTGATCTGAGCCAATGTCTACAGATTTGGCTCCATAGCCAAAGCCAAACGGCAGCGGCTATAGAAATATATTGCAAAACTGACCACAATCTCCATGAAGCATAGTCTCAAATTTTAACCCACATCTCTACTAGATCAAAATCCGCTCAGGAGGGCGGTTACAGTTGTAACTACTCCCCATTTGATTTTTCTAGTCAAATAAAACCTTCCATACGTTTATGGTCATCTGTGATTTTCCTGAGATTAATTTTCAGTTGCTAGATTTGAACAGAAGTATCACCATTTCTTCAAACTCACGGAACAATGATGGTTACGAGGGCACCCCTGCAAATCTGAGCCTTCCAAACGTTCTCAACGAGAAGCTGGGCGCAATTCCTTCCTGATAGCATCGAATGAAAGTCAGCCCGGTTTGCTTGTTTTGCCATAATTACCAGGAGAAAAAGGCGCTCTGTTTCTTTATGCCATCCTGCAATTAATCAGTGTTATCCTGTCGTTAGTCACCAAATGCACCCATGGCATAGAAAATTATGCGGGTGCTGACCCTCACACGCGTTCTGCCAGACAAGTCTCCCACCTTACAGTTATAGTCCTGCTTCCTTTTGGGATCATGTTTTAAGAGCGTTAAAAGTTTCTCTTCTTTCCCGACAGGAACACAGACAGGCAACATCTCCATACAGTGGTGCTTTTCCATGGACAAGGAAATCTAACCTTGATTACTTAGCATTGGATTTTAATTCTGCTTCCCCATCCCCTGTACAGAAGGTATGAGTCATTTGCAAAACCCCACAGCCTCCTATCTTTTTGTTTGCTGGGAGGAAAACAAGACCAAGAGTCAGGCTCTGCTAGGTGCCCTAAGTATCATCGTGAAGCCAGTCATGTTTCCAGCTGACTGCATTTGTGGCAGGCTCAAGATTAATGTAATAAAAGCACTATAAGGGTGATGACAGGGTGTCCTCAGCGTGACTCATAGGGTTGCCATTAACACGAGCTCGGCAGAGGGCATGAGACTGCGCTGGGATGTGCAGCCATGAGGGCTTGTGAGCAAGCTTGTTGGTGCTTGCAGGATCTCTGCATGTTCTTTCATTTTCATCAAGTCTCCACAAACCCTTTCCTGCTAGTTTTCCCCCAAATCTCTTTGCGGTAACAAGTTTACAGCCCGTGATAAATTCACGGGGTAAAACTGTACCATCTCTTGTAACGTGGCAAAATGTGCATCTTTATTCTTGCATTACCGAAAGCATTTCAATTTCCTTAGCAATGCTGAGAAAACCCATTCCTTGTTCCAAAGAGCTTATAACCTGCCCAGGCGGTGGGTAGGTACCATTGCAGAGCAACGAACTGTTGTCAGTTTGGGCCACTTTATGTCCTGTGTATCATTTTCCCCATCAGCTAATATTCCTGGATGCAACAGACTCAAGACTCCTAAGCTTTCTTAAATTTAGACCCTTCCTTTAGTTAAAATGCAGTTAGGTTATCCCTGCAGCAGGATGACTTGGATGAGAAGGGAATGATTATCTGCATGGAAATAGCCGGAACAGCACGTTTCCCTCGCTCACTGTGCTGGGCTGAGTGACAGGGTGACAGATGGATAATTATAGCTAAAGCAGGCTGTAAAGCAATGCTTTTGTCAGTTGATGTCACTGTGAGCTTCAAGGTGAAGTGAAGCAATCAAGGAACAAGGGAAAGCGAAAACAGAAAATCAAGCCAAGTTTCACTAGCATCCCTTTTCAACCCTAAAATTAATATGTTGTTTTTTTCTTTTCTCTCCCACAGAAACCTTTTCTCTCTGAGGAGCAGAGAGTGGACTACGTCCAGGTAGATGAACAGAAGACTCAAGCTTTACAGAACACTAAGCAGGAATGGACAGATGAGAGGCAATCAAAAGTCTAAAGGAAGAAGATTTGGGATCTGGAGGATTATTTTTTTTGCACTGGAACCACAATGTTAATGAAGCAGCTATCACAGTAGAGTTCAAAGGCAGAGAGAGTTGAAAGGTGCTTACAGTCTCTAGAGGAATGACATTTTTAATAGAAACCTTTGACTTCAGCTGGACATAGTATGTTGAATGAGTGAGTGGTTCACTGATGATTAAAGTAATGCATTACCCTTTCTACTGCCCTTACCAGTAAGCTACGTGGTACCATTTTCTGGCATGATTCTGTGACGAGTCATACACACATGTTAACAAATCCACTACATGTTGCATTAATCTAGTTAGTCCTGCCTTCTCCCTCTGTTGCATAATCCCTAGTTGCTAAAGCTATTTTTTGATATTCCTACCAATACTGCGGGTGCTCAGAGTGCTTTTATGGCAGCGAGCATCTGACAGGTATTGGTGACTAATCAACTAAGGGCTAAAATACTGAAACAATAAAAAGAACTTTTTGAATATATAGTGCTTAAGCAAAGAGAATTTTGGAAAATATTTTTCCCCTGGGTTTAAAAGGTCTGACTCTGAGCTGATGCTGTCAGAAACTCAAAACACGACTATGTACCAATGGGACTGGAATGCACCGTCTTTGACCCTCTGGACGACGGTCGTCGTATTAAGCTTCTTCTCTCCATTGTGGCTCATACTTGTCGCCTTTCTGTCTGATTCCTACTGGTGTTTTCTTCCCTATCTTGAGGAGTGTCTTCGGCACAGCACAGCACAGCTGCTCCTCTAGCAGGAGGCTGCAGGCACACAGCTCTTGGCTGGCCAAAAAATAGAACGGGAAGCTGTGAGCCTGTTTCTGCAAGTCTTGGGAGAACTGGCAAAGGATCAAGAATGCTTTCATCTGAACTGCAGAAGAAATGCTATTGGAATTGCTGGTAGCAGTCATCAAACTGATTGTTTCACTAGACCCACCCCCCCAAAAAAAAGAGAATTAGGAAGTGCAGCGTGCTCCGAGAGAGGCTAGCAGGCCTGCCAAAATAAAACAACAATGCGCTTACGTGGCGTGAGGACCTCTGGGTTCAGGAAGCTTATCTACCTTGGGACTTGTTACAGGCACTATCTCAGGATCACATATGTGTATAGTTTATAACATATTTAACTTTAAAAGCTTGGCTGCAACCTTTATTTTAAGGTGGCACACAGCCACTCGAATCATGGAAGTATGCAGTACCGCTGAGTGACCCACACTGGATTTGATCTTGCAGGCTTTGCTCATGCAGGTAAGTCCCACGAGCCGTAAGAGCTCTGATCCTGTCAGCAAGGACAGCCAGCCAGCACCCTTACGAAAGATCTCCTCTTTGACAGTGCCAAGTCACTGGCCTCCCTTCGTGTGCCTGTTGCTACCACGCTGTATTACTGTAATCTGACATCCCAAAAATGCTGGTTTACCAAACAGAGGTCGTAGAAATGTCATTGCAGAAACCACTGGCATTTCAAGGGTCCTACTTATTGTCCTCCATGCACCCATTCTGCTTCAGCCATTTGGGCACTCTGGGAGGCTGAGAGACGCGGCCGAGTGGCACGTCGTGCTGGGAGAGGCAGCGTGGCTAACAGAAACACCATTTTTCTCCTACCTCAAGAGAGCTGAAGTGCTTGCAAGTCTCGCTGCTTCTTTAGAGCAAATACAAAGCTGGGGATCCGTGGTGACCAGGCTCTTAATAGCTTACCCTGCAAGAACGACGAGGTTCACCAGCGCCTTTATTGACTCTGGGGCAAACTGGGCACCCAGGCCTGCGGGCATAAAGTGTCCTGGACTAGAGCTGCTTGGAAAACTGGGGTTTATACTGCAGATAGCTGACCTACTGTTTCCTCCTACTCTGCTCCCCCCCCTCCCCCAAGCTCTAAAATGCAAGTTAATGTTCATAAAAGTTTTGGAAAGAATTCAGACTTTTCTGTATAAATCGTGTCTGTCTGGTGTGAAATTTAGTTTGTTAAAACCCAGTTGTTTTGTCCTGAAACTGATTTAGGAGAGCTCTGAGCAACTGTGTCCTGGGTGTGGTATTGCTACAGGGGAAGTGGTTTTGGGGAGAGGTGGTGGAGATCTGCGCCTCCACAGAGGTGTTAGAGGGGTAAGCGAGGAAGGGCCACAGTTACAGAGACATTTGCCTTTCTGCTCAGAAGAATTGTCTGTCTTTCAAGGTGTACAAATAATACATGTCACGGAAAGCTTTTGGTGTATGCTGCAGTACTGGAAGAGTTAAAAGACCAGCTAAGACGTGTATTACAGCAGGGGACAGAAAACATCCACAAAGGGCAGGTAAAATTATGCTATGCTACTGCAGATCCCAAATTGCAGAGTGATGGCATGGCAGCCTCCAGTGGGGATTGCGATAGCATACAGATCAGCTCGTATTTGACTGGAGTGTTTCTTTTCGTGCTGTCAGAAAATCTTCCGAAATGGAAAACCACCAAGTTATTGGAGACCACTGACGTGCTTGTTATTCTAGTTTATTGCAAAAATATTTAAACTTCGACAAACCTGGCTAACAGATCATTCAGAAGTTTAGAAAAGAAAGAGCTCCTTTGGTATTTTTTTTCCCCCTAAAAGGACATAAATATATAGCTTGGCGGGGACCGTCAGATGAGAATGGCCCCCTTTCAACTTCTGCGTGTCCCCTGCTTGCCCCCACCGCTCTCATATCTCGATCAAACGCTGCTCGCTGGTTTCTAACTTTCACTTTTTAACTAAAAGCTAAGTTTGGGGGTTTATTCAGATTTTTCATTTAAGGTCTTTTTTTACCCGCTGCTCCGGGGTCCGTGACGTGCATTCTTGCGTAAGCACAACACGTGAAACGGGAGCGATTAAAAAAATACAAAAAAAAGTTTTAAAAGCAGAGCAGTCCTCCCCCAAGGCTTTTATTTTTTTGTTTTAGTCAAATTCCACAATCCTCCAAAGAGGGTAAAGAGGAGGAAGATGGTGGGAGGATGGCAAAGGCCAAATCTGCTGCGGCCACCCCATCATTAAGGATTTCGGTGTGAACGGAGCCACAGCAGCCCCTGCTGTAGTACACGACTGACATACCTGTGGGCTGCCACGCTGCCAACCGCAGCAGCCCGGGGCCAGAGGACCTACTGGGGGGAGAGGAGGGATGTTACAGAGCAAAAAGGAGTCACTGTTTAATTAAGTCTGTTCTTAAATACTGATCCCTTGGCCAAAGAGGAAAAGAAAACCTGTGAAAGCACCTGAAAACTGAGTCAGCTTTTGACAGTGTCATGTCTGAAATGTAGCCCAGCAAGAGCCCTTGGTTAGCACTGGCGCCCGGGTCAGCCAGGCACGTTCCTGGTAGCGTCTTGTTTTTTGCTGTGGGTCTGTTATATTGTTATTTGTATGTATTTCATTAAAAAGTATCACGAGAGCCGATGCAGAGAGAGGCTCTGCACCTAAATGAGCATGGGGCGGCCAGCGGTCCCTTAGGAAACTCTTGTCTCCCGGGGGAACGGGCACTGCCCGGCTCAGGACTTGTAGTGCCTTCTCCAGCACCGCTGGGGTTTCTCGTTTAAAATGGAGAGCAGTGCTAAACGAGCAAAATAGTTTTTGCTTAATTGGAAATGTTTCTCTGTGGCCTTGCCAGGTGAAGCTCGGTTGCAGGACGATGTGGAAAACAAACAAGCTAAAAGGTTTCAGTCCTGTGGTTATTGTCAGGGAGATCAGCTGGATTCCCCCCGCTGTTGGCGCGGCCGGTGCGTGAGCTGGTGTGCCAGCACCCCGGCACGGGAGGGAGGAGGTCGGAGATGAGATGGATCTCTTTTACTGAAATTGTCTGTGGCCACTGAATACAAAAATAGCCTGTGTCAAACGCCTGCTTGAAAGACATCCTAAAGAGTCATAAAGAAATCCTTCTGATCTGAACTTCTTTCCTGGGGCGAGCAGGATTTCAGTACTTACAGAGAGTTACACGCGTTCCCAAGGTCTTTACTCAGTTCGGGTTTAATATGGCCTCATTCTGCAGTCTTTCAATGATCACGCATTTGAGCAAGGTGTAGCAGGATCCAAGACTCGTTTGCTTTTTGGACTAGACTGTATTTTCCGTTTATAATTCCTTTATTACAGGAGGCAGCATTAAATTCCTTACTGGCAGATAGGAACGCTTTACCTGAGAAATGTCAACAGCCATTTAACTCAAGCCAGGTGTTTTCAGCCAGCTCACTTTTTGCCAACGGTAGCGCCCGCTCTCTTCCGAGTCACTAATTACATCATAGATGTAGATTTTGGAGTTGCATTCACTTGAAGCGATCCAGTGGTTTAGTAATTCAAAGACCATCAGATGCTGTGATGAGAATGAAGCACAGGGCAATGCCTTTCCTTTGTTCCCCTGTTCCGCAAAACTTGCTCAGGTTTAAAACAAAAAAAAAGCCACCAAAATAGCAGACTTTTGCCATGTCAAAGCCAGAATATTTTTTGTTCAAACGAAAATAAACTTTTGTCTTGTGCAAAGGAAGCATTTTACTTTTTTTTGTATCTGTAAATCTGTGGGGAAGCATTAAACAGTCATCTCTGTCACGAAGGAATTAGTCATTGATAGAGGGAAGGGGCTCGCCTTCCTGATGTTTCATTGTAATGTTTGTTGTATATATTTGCACATTAAACTGTGTATCTTTTTTCTAATAAATTAATATAAAACGTAGCCGTGATCTTTAATTATTTTGATATGCGAAGGTGCTCATGGGGAAAACTTCCACATTTTTCATTTAATGCTTTTTTCCATTTTTTAAATCTCTTACTAGGCTGTGACTTGTTCATATAAATTATTTGGATGCAAATTCAAACAAATTTGCAAACGAATTTCATACACCTGTGTATCAGGAAGATTATTTGCAGGTGACTTGAGAAACAAACAACGATGAAGTTGCGACCTGGGCTCATGGCTGCATCCTCCTGGGGCCTGGGTAAGTTGCAGCCCCCCAGCTCCAGCTCCTGCCCCTGCCGCAGCCGAGGGGGAGGAAGGGGCCGCGCTTACAGACCGATGATGTAGACCGCAAGCACAGATTTGTTCAGCATATGCTCTGGGCTTGGATACAAAGAACAGTTGTTATTTAACCTGATCCTTTAATTGCTCTGTGCTGAGGAGCGTAGTTGCTGTTAATGTAATTTCCACACGCAGCAAGCTGGGGACGTGGGATCCTTTCACCCTGCACGTCTCGGGATTTCGAAGATGAAGCGAGGCGGTCCATGGGAGCAGAGCTGAGCAAACCTAGCTGCTAACAAGCAAGGTAGTTTGGGAAATAGCTTATTTATTGCTTCAGGCAAGTGTCACTTTTGGATCTGCGTGCTTTGTAATCCTGGCTGGATACCCAACTGTGGTGAATCGAGGGACTTGTAGCGCTTACAGAGCCATTGATGGAAACTTGGCTGCACGACTCGAGAAGCGCGGACACGTGTAATTTAGATAAGCCTACGCCTGGGGGCTCGATACAAGGGAACTGCGTGACATTTTGTGTTCAGTCTTATAGGGAGGGCAGGTCGGATAAATAAAAGGTCAGATAAGGTCTGACTGCCGGTTCACAGGCTGCTTCCATGTCCTCTCTCCAGCGGAGATGGGAACGGCCCTTTCGGCGGGGAGCGCTCCCCAGGAAAGTGACCTCCCTCTCCCGCACCAGCTCCCAGACGCTCGGAGGGAAGCAAGCCGTGCCGAAGCCACCGCCGCCCCTGCCCCAATGGCCTGGCATGTCCCCTCCGTGAGGTACTTCCCAGAGCAGCAGAGGTGGTTGTCACGCAGGGTCCCGGCACCCAGAGCATCCCCACAGGCAGGGACAGCCGGGCCCCGTGGGAGGGGAGCCAGTGCCCTCTGAGCTTGCGATCAAGAAATTGGGCTCTGCGAGTAGACGGTGCTGAAACGAAGCAGTATGAGGCTGCACAAAATTCAGGAAGCTCTCAGACTTCTCGCGCCTCTGTGCAAAGTACTTTGGTGATTAGATAATAATAATAATAATAAGGGGGAAAAACTGATAGCAATAAGTATGACTGCGTAAGCACTTGGTAGATGTTAGCCCCTCTAATCACATCCGCAGTTTCAAACCACGTAAAACACTTCCCTGAAGCAAAAAGCTGCAGAGCAGCCAGCCAGTTACCAAACCCAGGTCATCTTCACGGGGCATGAAACACAAACCCCTCCAAAAAAAGCAGTAATTCCCTACCGCCCCAGTGCTTTTTGCCTTTTTAACTCTTTTGGTTAAGAGTGCAATTGCTTTGGTCTTTTTTAGTCTGAGATGCTCGATGGAGCACTACCTTAAAAATGGGCATTCCTGTACAACCGTGTCCACGCTGGGGACTGTATCAGTGCAAGGATACAGGTCTTGGGCCACAGTGGTGATACCCCATTTCTGTCCAGTAGATCTCCAAGAGCTTTGGCGAAGGGACCTGTACTTTATTTCTGATTTTTCATGTGCGCTTTGAGGGACAGTGACTCCCCCAGGGCCGGTGGCAGCAGCAGAGGTGACACCTGGGTCTGCAGAGTCTTAGTCCTGCCCTTTCACCAGCGACTAATGCAGGCTGCGTGCTGTGTTTTGACAGGTCTTAAGATCTGCATCTCCCCATCAAACAGCATCTAAAACTCCTCTTCCAGTTGTTCAGGGCAGAGAGTGCAGAGGGACTTTGCTCTACTGGTTATACTTATTTATAGGAGCGCACTGGGTGTCAGCAGCACCACATAGAACCATAGAATAGTTTGGGTTGGAAGGGACCTCTAAAGGTCATGTAGTCCCACCCCCCTGCCGTGGGCAGGGACATCTTCAACTAGATCAGGTTGCTCAGAGCCCCGTCCAACCTGACCTGGAATGCCCTCCCTGGGCAACCTGTTCCAGTGCTTCACCACCCTCAGTGTAAAAAATTTCTTCCTTATATCTAGTCTAAATCTGTCCCCCTTTAGTTTAAAGCCATTCCCCCTTGTCCTGTCGCAACAGGCCCTGCTAAAAAGTTTGCCACCACGTCCAGCACTTAAACACAAAGGATGCGTCTGGCGGAGGCTCAGCCCCTTCCCACCTGGGGAACTGATCCCAGGCCCTGTTGTAATGCAGGAGTGAGCAGGGAGCGACCCAACCTTTCATTCATTGTCCTGTTTTGTTCTGCTTTGATATTTGATTTTCCTTTCACATCCGATTTTAGCATAAGCCCATTGTTATACAGCCCCAACATGCCCTGCTCTGACAGCTCGGGGATCTCAGCATTGGCAAATTCGTCACTGTGTAAGAGCCTGAAAAGCCCTTGCTCTGCTGGTGGGCTCTCATCGAGGGCTTTAAAGCTTAACACAGTTTGGGGGTGTTTTCCTTGCGTGTGTTTGTGGTGGTTGTTGTTGCAGTTTGGTTTGCTTCTTCATTCAAAAACGTTGAGTGCTTTGTCTGGCAGCTCAGCTACTTGGAAGTGCCTCCGACTATGCTGCTATCTAGAGATGCTTGGTTTTGCTACTGCTGCTGTTATTTCTTAGCTTCATTCCCCACATGAACAGCACAGAGCAATGGGGAAGACCTACTCTGTATTTTTCCCCACAAGGAAAAAAAACCACAGATCCCTCACATGAAAGCAGCAGTTCCGCTGCCCACCCCAGGAAGACGCCGCTCTGCAAGCACCTCGGCCTTCTCTGGGAAGGCGCAGGGCGTTTTGTAGAGTTACGGGGCGATGGAAAAGGTGAAACATCAGATGAAGGCAGCGCCAGCGGGGGTCTGCCAGCACCGGAGGAGATGCTAGAAGGCAAACATAGCTTTTGCCTTTAGGTTTCCAGATCAAAGTTCAGGACAGCTTTCAGTGCGACCTTTTGTACAACCTGAGAGAGACAATTCCTCTACAGAGAGAAATGGAAGATTGA